AATAAATAAACAGATTGATTTGATTAACTTTTTTGAAAACAAATAATGTTGTAAAGATATTTACAGTTTAGATTTATACAGTTTAGATTTATTTTACAGTTTAGTCATTTACAGTTTAGTTATTTACAGTTTAGTTATTTACATCTTCTCAAACTTACTGTGGACATCGTCTCTTCCGGCAACGATTTCGTGAAAGCATTTTGAAAAAGAAATATTAAAAACCAGAGCATTGAAAAGCAGATAATCAAAAATTTGAAATATCTGAATTTGAAATGATCTCTTTTATCTCTCAAATCTTGCTGCTTCCTTCAAAAATAAACAATTTGAATCAAGTGTGAATCATCGATTGTTTTTCTCTTTCCACCCCCCACTTTCCCATGAAAGATGCCTTGGGTCAAATGGGACAGATGTGTTTAGACTCTCTTTGAGATAAAACTAAGCAATTGATGAATCAACTGGACTTTGTCCTCAAAAATGGAAACTCTTTTCGTTTTGGGTGAAACTTTTGAGCAAAAACTGCACCCACACTGAGGGCCGAGAGCAATTAAACAACCGATTGCTGATGTTAATCATCAAAGAGTTTGAATTTTTTGAATTCACAGCAATTGACAAGATAGAAATCGTTTCAATGAGTTTACTTTTTATGGAATTGACTGGAGGGGGTGCAGCTTAAGTTCAAGTTTTTCCATAATGAGATGATTTAAATTAAATCCAAAAAATTTAGCGATTAACTATGAACATAGTCCAAGACAGGATGTAAAAGCTGTGGAAAAATACTTAGAAATTTAAGGTAGAAGTTGATGTCAGAGGGTTGGCATGATGACGCCGTAAAAAGTGACGCCGTAAAAAGTGACGCCGTAAAAAGTGACGCCGTAAAAAGTGACGCCGTAAAAAGTGACGCCGTAAAAAGTGACGCCGTAAAAAGTGACGCCGTAAAAAGTGACGCCGTAAAAAGTGACGCCGTAAAAAGTGACGCCGTAAAAAGTGACGCCGTAAAAAGTGACGCCGTAAAAAGTGACGCCGTAAAAAGTGACGCCGTAAAAAGTGACGCCGACTCAGTCCTTTCCCTCTTCCGATTCGAAGGAGGACGACCTATCTATTGGGAACGTTTGCCAGAAGACGAGCGATTACGCAGGGACATAACGAACAAGAGTCATTTACATGACCATTCTTCCACGAGACGGAAAAGGAAGCACCTTGTACCAGATGAGGATGCCAGACGGTTAGCGATTACGAGCGCGCACAGAGATCACATCAAGCCCAACACGGATTTCTTTCTTGTCAAACTTAATACTGTGCTTTATATATCAAATATTTTCTAGGTAAACCAGGGATTTGCTTGCTTGGAAATGGAAAATGAGGAACCAGCTAAACGTTCACTTTTTTTTACAGATTCAAAACCGATCAAGCCATTCAACCATTGATTCTACTTCAATCTGATGACGACATCAAAGTCAAAGGTGTTACCATAGCAGAGATTTCTCCAGAATAAGAGATCTCTTTCTAGAAGAAGTCCCCCGGGACAGTGATCTCTTCTCCTTTCCTTTCCTTTCTTCTCATTCTTCACATCCATCGCCCTCATCGAGGTCCCCTCAATGGTCAGCCTTCTCCTTTCCTCCTTTCACTTTGTCAATTCTTCTGCCCTTTCCAAATTTGCATATCTCCACAGGGTCCTCTTCCTTTCAAAGATCAATCTCAAAGATTGCGTTCTCCCCTTCGTCCCCTCAACCCAGCCATATTCGGAGTTCCAAAAATTTCTAAAAATCACTTGTTAAACTTTTCTCTTTTCTACAATAGAATCTCTTTCTCTAGTACTTTGGGATTTTTTTCACTGAAAATAACAAAACTTTTTAGATGTAATGGCTATGCGAAGGCCCTCGAATGTCGTAAATCTCAATCGATTGCGGCAATCTTTTCGAAAAGGGGTATTTCAAAAGTTCGATGGATTTGTTACTAGATAAAACAATTTAGGCACTCCAATTGAGCAACTCAATACGAGAAGAGGCACGTCAAGGTTTGCAGAAAGTACGCAAAGTACCGCGATGGGTTCGAATTTTGAGAACGGTGAGTAAAATGAAAACGGATACCGTATTTTCTCTAATAGTAGTACACCCTGAGCGTCGCCTAAATTGCTCGAAATCTCGAGAACCGCTTATCAGAACCTATTGATGTGGGGTCGGAAAATGTAGCTGACGATGAGATCTAGTGGGGGATTTGAGCGTTGGACTTCTGGGAAAACTTGGAAACCGTAAAATCGTCCTCAACTCGGCTCGGCGAGGAAAATACGGTAACTCAAAGGCCTCAATGTTCGGCAAACTGAAGTTTGACCGGATTGCCTAGTACCCAAAAGCATTGGTATGTCAATCAATGGTGAATCAAATCAAGGATGTCAATGTCATCAAAACAAATCAAGTGCTTGACCTGATCAAGGGCAGAGTGCTTGACCAAGGTTGTTTCAGTGATCAGTGGAATCTCAGGAGTATCTGATGATGAGTTTATCATAATACGATAAACATAAGCAGCTAGATTTCACATTCATTTGAAATATGACGATGAGATCTAGCGGGAGATTTGAGTGTTGAGTTTCTGCAAAAGCTTGGAAACCGTAAAATAGTCACCAACTCGGCTTTGCCGGGGTGCACTACTATTAGAGGAAATATGGTATTTATGATGATCATCTTGAATATTTATGATGATGATCATCTAGTCTATTTTAGATTTAGATTCATTTTAATTTTCACCTCGAATTCAGAGTTCGAATTTCAGATTTATCACGACTACGGTCTCAAACATATTTGTCTAATCTCGATTCTCATTTTGTATCAATTTTTTGGCGCTGCTGTTTTCTACTATTATGAGAAAGAAGCCGATGAAATTAGGGAGAGAAATTGGGAAATTGAAATACGGTAAATAACTCAAAAGAAAAAAAAATAAGCTTTATTGTTTTAGGGAAAATCGTACGGTGTTGATTTCTAGAATAATTCCATTGTTGTTCAATAACACCGAATATCTCTTCTTTCTCACGCATAATCAAACAATAGAGGTGAGTGGGGAAATTTAAACTGTAAAGCTACTGGAAAGCTACTGTAAAGCAATCTTGCTGCTACTGTAAAGCTCTAGTATTCTCTACAATAACTCAGATAAAGCATTCGGGTCAAACAAACGAATATCTTCTATAGGGTTTTGAAAGTATTCAGTCTATTCAGTCTTTCTTTACTTGTCAAACTAGCTAAATTCCAGCCTATACGCTGTGGCAGAGCCAGATTCTGTGTGAGTTAGGACTCTAACGATTTTCGAAATCCCTTTTGTCCTTTCAATTCTTGTAGCCAAATATAGAAACTTTTCTGAGATAAGACTGCTTAAAATCCTTTTCACAAAACTTTTCCAGGTTTCCAACAAGTTGGGCGAAGAGTTGGTGAAATACGAAATCCAACTCGGCATTAAACACACCGATCAGAAAATCCCGTGGGATTTCTGGAATGCAATGCTTTATGCACAGGTGATTCTAGTGTGATAGTGAGAATTCAAAAGTACAGAACTTTCAATTAAAATAATCTAATCCTGTACGGAGATCAACCAAGGTCCCTTTAGTCCTTTAGTCCCTTTAGTCGTCGATAAGTCTCTTCATGACACGTGCTCAAATATCAAATCCCAGTACCCACTTATTTTCATTTGCATTTAACAGCTCAAGAATTCATAAAACCATAATTTCCGATTGCTTTAGACGATTTGCACAACGATCGGCTATGGTCATCTCTACGCAACAACTTTCGAAGGCCGTTTATTCACAATGATCTACGCGATTTTTGGGATCCCTTTAGTCCTTTCAATTCTCGATGATCTAGGTAAGAAAGGATCAAAGAAAAGTACAAAGGATTTTCTTTAGTAAGCGAGGTATCATTTGTCACCGATAGGGTGAGAAATTGAGGAAGAATTGGGAAAGAAAAAGAGAAGGAGTTCCAGCTTGAAGAAGGGAAAGAGGAGAGGGGAAGACCTTGGGAATTGTTCCCATGAGAATTTCCCTTTCTTTTAAAAAGCTAAACCTATCCTCTTTTGACCTTTTCAATCAATTTCTCGGCAGCAGGATGTTTCAAAAAACAGACGAAAACTTTAGTAGAATAATAACAGGAGTGCGGAGAAGTCAATTGTTTATTGTCAATTGTTTTAGCTCTCTCATTGTCAGTATTATTAAACAAAGAACTTATTTGGATAGAGATATTCAGATTTACTGTAACGAAACATGATAATGTAAATGTTGTAGCCATTTACGAAATTCGTAAACCGGCTACGACCTGTTGAAGTCAATATCTAGCAGTTAAACAATTAGTATTGCCATTGCCCAGTTATTGTTGATAGTTTTTCAGGAAAATTGCTGACAAGATGCCTGAAAACGCCGTGGTGGCTGGTGAAATGCGTATGCCGACGGGCTTTCCGTTACTGCACAAAACAAACGATGGATGAGATCAAACGACTGGACGCTGAGGATAAGAGAGGTAAAGGGCTTTGCTTTGCTTTTCCGTAAGCTAATAGTAAGACTTTGCTTACTATTAGCTTACGGAGAGTACTAAAAACCGTTAGGCCAAATCTGTTAGTTGTTGATTTAACAAAATTTCAATAGTATACTGCATAGACACTACAAACTACAAACGTAAACTATAAACGCTTTCTAGCTTGCTTCAAATCTGTTGGATTGTTATGATCTATAGCTCAAAGAATAGAGAATTTCAACAGCTTTCGAATGGACTAAAGTACACCGAAAAATATCAATGCTAAAGAAAGTTACAATGGTTTGTAGCTTGACTCGATCGCTTCGGCTAAAACCATTGTAACTTTCTTTAGCATTGATAGCATTTTTGGTGTACTTTAGTCGATTCGAAAGCTGTTGAAATTCTCTATTCTTTGAGCTATAGATCATAACAATCCAACAGATTTGAAGCAAGTTAGAAAGCGTTTTTAGTGGGACAGTTTTTTTGTCTAGTACAGCACAAATTTCTATACAAATGTGTTTAGATCTCGAGATTTTCGACTTACCGGTACCGATTGCTATTGGCGTCGTTGTCGCCTGGATATTCATTTGCTCAGTGGGCTCTAGAGAAATTTGTAGCCCAAAAACGTTTCCTTTTTAGGCGACTTTTTGTATTTGGGAGAGCGAATGGGACTATTTTGTGGCTTTCTACTTTTTCTTTATTTCCCTGTCGACAATCGGTTTAGGTGGTAAGTAATTTGAAGTGAAATCGTGAAGAAAATTGTTCTATCAAAGTGATACCAGGTAGAAAAATAGAGCCAAAAAGACGCATTAGCTCATAAATGCTAACTCAAGCGCACCGTAAATCCTCAAATTTAGATATCACTCCGACCCAACCGCGTTACCTCTTGATGCTTTTTATCTACATCATTATTGGTCTTTCACTAGTTTCCATGTGTATCAATTTGATTCAGGTGAAAAAAAAAATGCAAGAAGAATTGCGAATATGGTATTTTGAATGACCATAGCTGTCTACTCTTACTGTACAGAGCTACAGTATTGTCTTTACTTGATAACATTTTTTCTCTAATCTCATCTTCCTCTTGAAACCCAAGAAAGAAAAAATTTCCATGTTCAGGCTAAACTTGAGCGAACTTATGAAGCCGGTCGTAAACGTCATCATCCACATTTTGATCGGGAAGGCGGCCTTCTTTTAGATGCCGGTAGAGTGGGCGATGAACGACATTTAACGAGAAGAGGAAGTGCTTTAGGTAAGAGAAAATGGACAATATTCCATTTCATACAAATTCTCAATTTTAGGAGTCTTTCGCACATCAAGCTCCGTGAATTCAATGTCACGAGACGCCGTGCAGACGGCTCTTCATGGAAAGAAGCGTTACAATAAGGTAGATCGCTAATAACTTCTTTAAAAGTCTAAATAGATATTTTTACTTTTGACAAAAGTTACTGATTTGTTTATCAATGGAGAACAAAGCCATAGAGTAGAACAATTAAAGCTTTTAGACTTGCCAAACCGTTCTTTCATTTCCATCACCGACGAAAGGATCTCTCGGGATCACGAGAAGCATACGAAATGCAGGGGTAAACTGATTTTTAAAATAAACTCTATGAAGTTACAAAAGTAGATCGATTTTTATATCGAGTACATTAAATGATCAGTCATTCAGCTTTCCTTAAAGAATACGGTATAATTCTATTTGGGTTAAAGTTTTGTTGAAATATTCAAAAGTATAAATAAGATTTTTTAGATGAAATTCCTCCCCCGGTCTCTGTCTATCGATGACGTGATGAAGCTTGTCGACACCGAGGTTTCACACGAAAAAAATTAAGAATTTTTTGTAGAGAAATGTTTCCAGGAAGGTGACATTTTGATATTAACCGAATTGGTGCGCGAAGAATCGGGAATCAGCACAACAAGCAACACAATAAGTGATATTAGTGGAAGTCAAGTAGGGGATGTGAAAAAAATGTTGATAGTATTTGCTTACAGATCGTCATATCAAAGTCATTTGATGCTAATTTCTCGACAAGTCGAGTGATTAACGATGTAAAACCCTCACATCCATCTTTGCATGACATTGAGGTACTGCAAAGTTTTACCAACTGTAAATGCAAATCTCAGGCACTAGAGGAGATGGAAGATCGCATAGCGCTGAGTCATGCAAATCAAATAGCATCAACAGTGCAATTTCGATCAAGGTGCTCACTGAAAACGATTAATACCGATAATGTTTAGGTTATCACTAATTGCTGAGCAAAGTTCAGCCATTGAAGAGAGTGATGAAAGTGCTGTGAACTCGTCGATCGAAAAAGATCCCTTATCCCCAAACTCAAACACCGAACCCTCTCCACCATCCAGGTGAGACGTAACAAATATATTCTCAAAATTGACACCTCTTTTTTCAGACGACGACCACTTGAGGCACGAAAAGCGGCTCTCAGCAACATTTTAAAACGTAAGAGCTCGAAAGAAGGCTCCAAAAATAGTGACCGACCAGGAACCTCGAAAAACTGAATGAGAAGTCGTTACTAGAAATAAAATATTTATAAATATCAGCTTTATCACAAGCTAGCTACTGTACACACAGAAACTACTTATTTACAATCCACCGCCCATGATCCTTTCTTGCATTTGGAGTACATTCATTGCTTGAAGGAGAAGGGGCCGGTCGATCATCTGACCACGGAAAGAAAAAGCACCAGTTCCTGGAAATAAACTACTATTTTGACAAGAATTAAAATCAGCTGGCCAAAGAAAAACGTGTTTAAAAATTCAACAAACCCCCTTGTTGATGCATGGAGAAAGCATCGGCCAGGGATTTTGCCCATTCAACTCTTTCCGCGGACGGCTTATAAGAGTCTTGAATAATGGGAACCTCAAAAGAGTTTTTTCGCTCATGAATAAAAAGGCAAGACTAATTACTTGGGAAGGATGAATAGCTTGTTTCCCAGTGAAGCCCCAGCTATGTCCTTGCAAACAAGATTCGCGTAAACCTTCTTCATCTTTGAGATCGATGTACACGGAATCTATTGCCTAAAAATAACAATCGTTTTCACACGAAAATCACAAAAATTTCTCAAAATTATTATTTTTTTTCAAGTCTTCATTTCTTGATCCAAATTTGTTATGTTTAAAAAACATTATTTTGCAAACATACCTGTAATTGAAAAGCCTTGCATACGGTGACGAATCTTTGACGAGCGTAAATGTTTTCAAGGCCCTCGGCGGTTCGGATTGCCCCTAAAACAATAAAATTTTCATCAAAACATTAATTTTCCAGTTAATTGCCGGTTTTCTTGAGAGGCGGTTTATGCGTGACTAAGCTTAACACTGAATGAAAAAGCCGGGAACGATGATGCGAGAAAAATCACGCATTCCCACAGTTTCCCTAGCCACAATTATATGGGATCGACGATGGAAAAAGAAAAGGGCGCAGTTTCAGTAGAGAGTAGCCTATTCCATAATGGATGCCGTGAAGGAGAGAGTCGAGAGTTCCACGGCTAGCCCAGGCCAGTCCCCACCCCTTCCCCTCCCCGCCTTGTTCCCCGCACCTCTCCTCCCACTCAGGTCCCCACGCCACAAACCCCATCGGCATTTTGAAGCCGTTTCCGGTTGGAGACATGCTTACCCGCATTTTGTTCATAATTTTCTCTGCTATCACACTTATGGCTTATGGTGCCTTACAATTCCACGACGGAAATCCGCTTTCTGGTGCGAGGATGCCGTGGGGAATCTACAAGTGGTTAGCTACTCGTTGTGTGAAATTTAAAATCTAATATAAAATACCTTTGTCTTAGGTACTCAATTTTGGTACTCATGAATCTGGTGTGAGCAAACTCTATGCAAATGTGCTTATGAAACAAGGCTTCCAGCTTGAATAGTACTTTTTGTTGACCCAAGACAAATTAGGCCAAATAGCTCATCTCAAATTTGGTATCGTACGCACCAGAGTCGTGAGCACCGCTTTTTTCAAACTTGAATGATCGAAAAGAAGTGTAATATCTCCAAAAGAATTCCCAAACAAAAATTGGAAATTTTTTCAGCTAGGTAGCGAAACTCTTTAGCTAGGTACCTGATTTCTCAACCCATTTTCCATCAGAACAATGTTTATCCCAAATTTTTAGGAATGGAAACGGGAGGTCGAATATACGAACCGGAATTTATAGCGGCAACGTTATTTCAGTCAACCGGAAGTGAATTTTTGCGACGACGAAAGATTATGAATAAATCAGTTGTGTTTCTTACTACTCGACAAAAGAAGTTAGAGAAATCACGCCTCACCAATGTCCGCACAGAAATCATCTGAACCAAACACCACAGCGTCTAACTTGAAGAATCCTAAATGAAAATAGAAATTGTCGCACGTCATATCTAACCAGAATTTCGATGAAGATTGATGACAGAAGAAACTAAAACTTAATGGTAAATAAGGACTTTTCACAAACATTTCTCACCAATTCTAGGCATGTCCAATAGGGCTCTCGCTGACTCTATCCATATCACAAGTCTTGTAGGCTAAAGTTCGACGTTGGACTGTTACAAACATCAACTCCTTAAAGACTTACCGAGTCTGTGATACGATTAGCTCCAAAAGTCGTCCGAAAAAGATCATAAATCGTAGCCACATCTTCGGGAGTGTCGACTTTGGGAATCATAAAAGCTGCTGGAAGAACTTCGGCTTTACTTAGTTCCTAAACTTCGCAATAAAAATAAAAATCTCAAAATACCTTTAAGTCATCTTCCAGCAGACCACTTGCAAAAGAATTCACGCGGAGACCGAGCTCAAAGCACGATAACATGCTACCTTAACACTAATCAAAATGAAGTCAAATATTTAGTACCTTGAAGTTGATTGAGCGTTTTCACAGCATTAGAGCGAGCGACCGCTTTCGAAGTTAGCGCCACACCGTCTTCTAGCTCGAGCACCACACAATCCGACTAAAATTGGGTACAAAGTTTGTAGGAAAATTAAAGACCCTAGCTAATTAGTTTTTTTAACACTACTAATTGTAAGTGTAAAAAATAGTATCATTGTCAGCCCGTTCCCCTAGTAATCGCTAATTGGCATTTAGCATTTAGAAAAAAAAAAAGAAAAAAATACCTTCATTAACGGTACTTTATTAAGCATTTTCTCACTGCTCGCCGGCACATAAAGTAGTGATCTTCTAGGGACGTATTTGGCCTATAAAAACTGACAATTAACAAGTCTAAAAAGTTTTAGCACCTTCTCGCTGACACTGGCAAATTGAGAAGCACATCGACGCGCGTATCCAACAAGACTTGTCATTGCTTTATCTGAAACAAATCTATTTGCTAAACCTATCAAAAAAGAACAACAAAACAAATTCACGAAAAAAAACACATAAAAACAACTAAAATGATATCATTTATCTTCAGAGCTTGGCTTCGAATCTTCTTCATCTTGCTTTGCTGTTTTGAAGCATTCTAAAACATTACAATCTTACGTTTTGTTAGCCAAAAATTTTACCCGTTCTTAAAGCGCAATTCATAAATTCGATCATTTCATCGGCACAAGCACCGTCCTCCATTTCTTTATCGGATGCGGATTTTTGACAACTTATCACCTAAAATTTCAGTACAAACTTTTACAACAAAAATTCAAACAAACGTTTCTAAATTCGTATCCACAAGGACTAGCAACAAGATGTCCCACGCAATGACATTCGAAATTCATACTTCCATCGGGTTTTGTCGGTCCTGGATTAAAGGATGGATACATCTAAAAGATGAAAATACGCAAAAATTATGTAAGCATAGTTGAACACAGGCTTACTCGTCTAAAAGACAAATTCACCTCATCAGCGCTCATTTCGGAAAGTTTCTTCACGTATTCGTCTTGAATTGGCTCCCAGAACTCGGCCTCGGTCACAAAAAATAGCTCATCCTTGCTTTTGGCTTCAATTGGACCCGATGAAGAGGGCTTTTGATTATCCTGCGCTTCCATAACACTCTAAAGTTAAAAATGTAAAATAAGCAGGAACACAAAAAGCTAAATGTGGGAAAGCTTCAAATTTAGAAATTAAAGCCATTAAATCTATTCAAAGAAAAATTTTTGATATTCAATTAAATTAATAAAAATTATTTATGGTTCCTTCGCGAATATAAATAGGCAAAGCTTTGTGAAACTTTTACTTTTGTTTCTGCCAAGCTTTAATTTTTTAGCCTTTTAATTTTAAACTTTTGCTCACGTTTCATCTTCTAACATTTCATTTTAGAAGCCTTCTTCTGCTTTCAACGCGAGAAGCGCATTAATTGTTTTTGGATCACTCGGAAAATTCGACGAATCAACAAATTTGGGGTGGGTTTCAGTTTAAATGCAGCCAAAATTTTAAAGTTTTTACTGAACTTTATGGTTAGAAACGTAAAATGAATAGTAGCTAATCGGTATTGTTGCTTCAACTGCACTTTTGACACATCAGAGTTGTGTAAATGACATTTATTGTATCACAGTTGCACTAGTAATGACTAGCCAATAGTCTCATGAGAATCGTTGCTAGACAAAGAACAAGGCAAAGCGAAGTTTTATAAGGAATAAGTTGAGATTTTTGCAAGCACCGGGAAATAATGGCAAAATCACAAATAGCATTAGTGGAACTTTTCCGACTTGTCCTTAACTTCGTTGACAAACTCGTCGAAGAAGCCTTGCGTGGTCTCGAATTTGTCAATCTGAAACGTTAACGGGTGTTTTCTTTGTGCTCGCACACTAATACCTCTTTCTTGATCCGTTCAATCGAAACACTGATGCTTTCGAATTCGGTGATGTTGGGTGCAAATCGGCACGCGGAAACCAACTCTCCCAATTCGGCGCTTGTCTGAAATTCTCCTCGTACTTTCAACATTTTTTGTGACTTACCGTCATCGAAGTTGGAGATGAGCCGGCTCCAAAAAATGGTATCTAAAATGTTTGGTTGCGATGCTAGCTTATGAGGCTATTACCTTGACAAAACTATCGTCGTCTTCTTTTTCTTCCAATTCATCGCTTTTAGAGTCTTTAGACGTTTCAACCTCGGTTTGTTCTTTTTGTTCGTCATCTTCCGGCTCTTCATCACTTTGGTTATTTTTCACCTAAATTTTTTTCATTCTTACTTTATCGCGCTCTTACCGTTGATGCAACCACTGAAGCGACCGTAGAAGCTGGTGGAGTCGTTTGGGTTAGCGGTGTATCAGCAACTGTAATTTTTTTTGATGAGGATTAAGTCTTGGGATAAATTACCAATAGTGTTTTCTAGACTTGGATTGTGCATTTTTGGATCATCTGCTTCAGCACCCTCTTTGTCTTCGGTCGCTTCTTCTTCCTCATTTTCATGGTTAAACTTTTCTTCGGTTAAAGCAGTTAGTGGGTAGAGTGCACCCGTGAATGACATAGTAAGTAGACCAGCAAATGGAATATCCTTCGAAATGGTCTAAATTTTGTTACGAAAAGTTTTTGTTGCCTTTCTACCAATGATCCCGAATGTTCTCTACTTCGACGAGCGCCATCCTTTTCCAATGAGCCAACATCAGAGGAAGGTGGCGATTCAGCATTAACCGAATTAGCTGACTGTGTGGATTGAGTCCTGCTCCTAGTCTAAAATATAACTTTATTTTTTAGACTTTAAAGAGCTTTCATGCAGTGTCGGATTCTTGAACGAATCCATTGTTTGAATTACGATCTTTAATGTACATCACAAGGCAAACGAGTATAGACTATTCAGGGTGTTAGTATCGAGTGTGTCTAAAAAATGCTCACTCTAGTGATAAAGTGTAGAGGAGGGCCAGGAGGGGAAGTTGCTAGTGCAAGCTGACCAGGAATGGGCGATGCTGCCTGAAGACACAATGCACAAAACAAACAAATACATAAATAGTACTACATTAATATGGATAAACGTGCCATCTAGAAACATTCGATGCCAACTTACCACACTCGCTGGACTGGTACTAAAATGTGAAATGACTTCGCAAAATGAGGATGGAGTATCGGGAGAGCTAGCAAATGCTGGATGAGCGTAGATAGTTGAGGTTGTTGAAACAATCTGACCAAGGACTGGTTTTTTTTTCCATGTTTAACCCAACCTGATGGTATGAATCTAAGATAGGCGAATCGCTTGTTATTTTTTGCTCGATTTCCATTCGTGTCCTAAAATATACGAAGTTTTTTTCCTATTTGTTTTTATATCTAGTACCTATAGTTCAATTCCAAGCTAAATGTCCCGATTTGAGTAGCTAAGGATCCCAATCGAATTGTTTTCATTTCACTTCCGAGATCCAAAGATGAAGCACCTTCGGCTATCTAAAATGTATTTAGAGTTGACTATCGTATTATCATCTTTAAAAGTAGTAGCTGCACCTACCCTGTAGAGTATTACGAAAGTTTCCGGGCCTTGTTTTTTTACATAATAGCGATGAGTGGGCGTCATTCTAGCAGCCAGCATACAAGAGCTGAATTTGTTGCGTTTTATTTTTTTAAACTTTCAAAGCTACCGAAGCAATGTCGATAAGTCGTGATATAGAGAGCTACTCTCCTCTGCGGATTTCTTGCTTCCATCAAATATGAAAGACCTAGATTATGAGTGTTCACATCATCAGCTCTGACCTACCATGACTCCAAAGGCAGCGTTTCCGCATCTTTTGTGTACAGAAAAAAGTCCACGGATATGGACGGGATGTCAGGGGGATATCTGAAACACCTTGAAGAAAAAAAAATAACTTTTTTACTTCGTTGTCGACTTCCTCAACTGTGCTGACACCTCTCCCAATTCATCCACTCGCACGTTGAACCAATCAGCTGATACTCCCGTGCTGCATGTTAGATCGAATTTTTCATTTGTGCGAGATTGTACAACGACCTAAATAGTTTTTTAGGAAATATATTGGAAGCTAAACAAACTTGTACAAATCTTGTCGAGAAGAATTTTCCATATGATCGGATTTTCTTCAACGACTCATCATCGATACTACACGAAGCCTGGGTGATTATACATGTTGATAAAATGAGTCGTTTAGGCTATACTTACCTCAAAGCCAGCCGAACTTAGCGAGGTTGCACTGCCAACTCGCATGCTTTCTATAAATCTGAACATTTTAAGTCAATCAGAAATTAGAGTTGAAACGCAACAAAAGAGGGAGAAATTAGCAACTGCTCCATACTTGAAAGTCTAACAGACAATACTCAATTTGAAAAAAATCAAATTACGGAAAATTGAGCATATTTAAATCGTTTGTATAGCATATAGCCCACGTGCTCCACGGTCAGCAGATATAGATTTCTGGGTTTCTGACATTGGCACGTTCTTTCAACCATTCCCGATTTTTATTTCAAGCTATCTTCTGTTGTTTGTCGTGGAACGTAGTGCGTTGAGTATTTACCAGACATAATTTTGCCTTTTTCAGCTTGCTTAAGAAATCTTGACAAAATTGGTAAACAAAATTAGATATTTCAATTCGGCAGTAAGTTTCCTAACTATCATTTCCTTTTTTGGGGAATGAGTAATCCCGGTAATAATTTCTCCGTAATTGGTAAAAATTTCTCTGGAATTTAGTTGTATTTCTATTGCGTCATGTGCATCTAAAATTTATTGCTTTTAGAATGACGAGGAAGAAGACTATTGAAAAGAAGGCTCAAACGGTCCCCTCAGATGAACCTACAAATAATGAAACTGTTGCAAGTGAACCTTCATCGAGCACTCCAAACGTTTGGCAAATTTTTGTACTTTGACATCATTCATTGTCTAGGAGCCTGAGGCCACAGAACAAGTCTCAGAACTTGTAAATGGCGTCACGAATTTATCGATGACAGATAAGGAGCGAGGAGAAATGGACCGACAAACAAAATCTAAAGAACAAATTAAAGCTGAAAGGGAAGCAAAGAAAGCTGAGAAAGGTTTATAATTATTACTGGTTGAAAACGTTAAATTTTAGCCAATAAAAAAGCTAATGCAACATCAAAAGTGGTTGCATCGCCAGCACCGCAAATACAACAGCATGCTCCTCAAATACCAAACGGTTTGAATGTTCAGTGCAATAAACAACATTCCAGTCTATAATGATTGACTAAAATGGCTTCAAAAATAAATGGAAGTGACTCATAGGGTTGAAAATGCTGGATTATGACGTTTCGATATTTAAATTACTACAAAATTTTAGGCCAAACTCTACTTTCTACAACTCAGGTGAGCAAACTGGAAAACAAAAAAGACGTAACACAGAAACCGCCGTCACCGGAACCAAAATCAGCTATAAAGAAAGATACGGCTAGAGGAAATCGTGAAGTGCAATTTGGTAAGAGATTTTCACAAAGCTAAACATGTTGGTTTTTTAGATCTGAATACAACTGTGCTCAGAACGCCTTCCGAAGAAACCATATCAGATTTGCCAAAGATGTTTGTGTTTACGGATTTAGCGCCCAACTTTAACGTTCATCCCGTTTTTCATACTCTGGCAGCAAGGTTGTTTTTGCAGTAAAACCTTATTAGAAAATGTTTAGGTGTGAGAGAGGACAAGTTGCCGACGTTGATGATTTGTGCGAGGAATTTCTTAGCGCGTTTGTCAAAGTGAGAATATTTTTTTGTTTTTAGAAATGAATAGACAACAATAACCCTTATTTTTTTAGTTTATCAGTGATTGGGGTGCTGAAAGGTTGCATAACTCAGATGCCGATCCGACCGCTCTCGGATTTGACCTTGATTTGGCTATTCGACCCCAGCTCGGATACTTGACAGAAGATGGTTGGGTTTTTTCCAATGGAAAGATTTGAGAATTCAGGTCGTTGGCCGTTACCTTATGCTCTTGGGAATCTTGTACGACAACTAAAGCGAGAAATTAAACGACTTGATGAACCATGCAAACATGCTCATACGAAAGAAGATGGAACAGTTGCTGCCGAGCTGCCGGGTGGATGTGATGTAAGTTTTTTGGTTTCACTTTTGTTCTTTTTACTTGAAAAGAGTTTATAGAACCCCGACGCTACAGTTAAAGTGAGTTTGAATGTAGTGTCCCTTTGTTCTTGCATGCTAGTAAACGGGAGGGATTTACCCTTGTAGTTTTGCATTCATCAACGTCATTTTTGTTTAGAAATTAAAAGAACTCGAAGAATGGCTTGAGGAAACGCGTTATTCATGCTTTGAGTTGGCAACTAATTCCATTTCTACTCATTTGATGCAAAAGAGGAAGTTTTCAAAAAAGATTGTCACATTTGACTGGTTGGTTTTCATTAATTCTGCAAACGTGCTTCGGTTTAGGTGTCGTGTTGTTAATCGAATTTTACTCGATTCTCTCGTTGGCGAAGATCCTGATTTGAAACATATCGTCGTGCTTGATCAGCAGTTGAATGGCCGAGGTCAATAATGCTTTATTATTAGTGACCCATTGTTTTCAGGAGTGCGCCACATGGACACTTTACTAGACAAAAATGTGAAGCTGGATTATGGGGATCTTCGTTCCTTGTCGGTCGCATTGCATAAGGTTCATTTTGATTGCCAAGTTATCCTTTAGTTTTAATTTTAGTGTTCAATCGTGCTTATTGGATGTTCGGCCGTTTTGTCGAACGGGTGTGTGGCGGTTCCCAAAGGATCTTTATCGGTATTGTGCTGTCCTTTTGAATTTAAATCAGTTTAGATTGCTTTGTCCGCTCAAGCCAACAATATCCCGTTTATGGTTTGTGCACAAACTTTCAAATTTGTGGATAAGGTAAGGTGTTTGTGGATAAGATGTGATTTTCTGCTGTTATTGTTAATTCATCTAATCAAAAGACGTTATTTAGGTGCAAACGTATGGACGAATGGCGTTACTTGGTCGTGAAAACATGGAGCTCGTTCCTTCAAGTCTCATCACCGCTATTGTAACCGATATTCGTATTGTGCCACCGTCTTCAGCGCCAGCGATTCTCAAGGCTAAAGCCCTAGAAAGCCAAAATTAACTTCGGATTTTCAAAGTTTTAAACATTTTCTGCTTTTAGAACTAATATGTTTTGTATTGTTCTTTCTTCTTTGTGAAAACAATTGGCTTTGGAATTTATGGGTTTTCGAGTTAAAATTATGGTTTTATAAATTGTTGAAATTATGGTTTTATGAATTCTTGAGCTGTTAAATGCAAATGAAAGTGAGTGGGCACTGGGATTTGATATTTAAGCACATGTCATAAAGAGACTTATCGACGTAATGACCTTGGTTGATCTCCGTGCAGGATTGGATATGTTGAGCAAAATTGAGATACATTGTTGGGGGGGGTCCTTTTCATCGCGGAGACTTTCTAATTTATGGATGGAGGTTCATGCAAAAGAAGGTCAGGCTCACTTTGGCGGGCAATGTGTATGTGGGGGAGAGGGGGAGGGGAATTCTTACATTTCTCTCAATTCTTTTCCATCTTTTCATTCATTCGGGTATTGAGTGGCTCCCCTTTTGAAATTGATTTCCAAGGCGTTTTGTCCATCGAAAAAAACGTTTAAAGAATTTTTGAGCTATTGTGACACAGCTTTTGACTTTATGTACTTGAAGGCTTTGCTTGCAGCTTTACTAAAATATCTTTTGTTTGTGATTTAATTGTTACATTGAGGTTAACGTATTCCATTCAAAACGCTCATTCGTTTTCCATTTGACCTCTTTCCAATTATGCAAAGCTGAGCATGTAGGCGGCTTGTGATGTAAACAGAAAACTCGAACGCAAAAAATTTTCTATAAATTCAGTGCTCATTTTTTTTTCTTTACATTCTAGAATATGACCGTTAAACTCCTCTAATCAACTCGCAATTCTGAGTCTAAATTAGCATCTAGGCAAGTACAGGAAACACTGGTTTTAGGCATTGATCTCAATATAGTGCACAATATTTTTCAGTGTTTAACCTATCTTACGGCTTCAGCTTTATTTTCGAAAGTCTGCCTATTTGATCAGCAGTCTCTTTATTTTTGTACAAATCCGTTCATCTCTTCCCTTGCAGATCCCCATGTCGATAGAGTGATTAAGTATGACGGTCATTCTTTTCGCCCATCGTTCTTTGCACATTGTCTGTCTATTGAGGCGTGAGAGAATTTCTTTCTTCTTTCTTCTTTCCCCCCTTCCAATCATAAAAGAAACACCGGATTGTTGCTTTTTTTTGTTTTTAGAAGAATGGGAACGCTTCGTATAGATGCGGTGACTCGAAAAAGAACGACACTTTTTACTTCTACATTCTTAATCTCGAAAATTGTATTTGTTTCCGAGGCTTCGTCTCATATACCGTAAGATTACTGTAAGATTTTTAAAGATAAGATCTAGTTTAAAATGCTCCTACATGTTTCCATTTTTATCTAAAAGCCTAATTGATATTGATCAAAAAGTTCAAAGAGATTTGAGAATCTTTGTGAATTGTTTGATCAATATTAGATATCGCAAAAGAATGCTCAAACTGAAACCATTCTATTCTATTATTTTTTCTCATACTCATCGAGCTAAATTCTAGGCTTAGCCATTCAGCTTTTAAATAAACATTGAACTACAGTAATAAAGAATTGTTTAGGCAAACATTGAACACTATTGATCAAAATTATCTGATTTTCTAAGTTATGTAACTGAAATATGTAACTGATTAGATCAACAATAAGCCGTGAGAATGGTCGTTATTTGAATTTATAAGGGTTGATGTAATGCTCTGTAATGAGTGAAAGCTGATTTTATTTGCCAGAGCTTTGGGAAGGTTTTCCTGTTCAGCTTTAGGCATGTTTCTTTATCGGATTTGAAACAATAGAAATTGTCTTTTGACATCACAAAGAGGCACGTTTGAGATAATTTTTCAAGTTGACAGTAGTACTTTTTTTTGAAATTAACTCGTTTCCGAGCACGAAACATTTCTTGACTTAACAACACAATAGAAGTCAAAGTCGAGAGTTGTAAGTGGAGACCTTCCCCCTTTCCCATCCCCTTCCCCTCAACCCTCTCTATGCCATCTATCCCATTCTTTTTCTTTCACAACGATCCTCCATTCATTCATCTTCTCTTTTACAGCTTCTTCTTCACTTCATGCATTTCATTGTTTGTCAACCTCTTCGCCTCTTCTCACCCCATCGCACTCTTTTTTTCAACTCCTGAACTTAACACGTTTATTTTTTTCCTTGACTTTAACGCTTCTCTTTTTTTGCTATTCTTTTTGACTTATTTTCTTGAGAAACCACTTAAGTTTTGCTTTTCTTTACCCTCATTTTTTCTTTCTTTCCAAACCCTTTCCAATTGCCACACCGATTTCATTCTTTCTTTCCATAAACACTTCAGCAAACCTGGGTTTTGATCTTTTTCAAATGGCTGATCAGAGAACAAAAAGCTGAAGCTGGGTTTTTTTTTTCGAAAGCTGATACTTAAATCTTTCTTGACTAATATGTTTAATATTTTTTTTACAATACCAGAATTATTCCAATACCAAATCTCTTTCACATTTCGTAGTGTTCCAACTGCTCTAGTTTTTATCGTGCTCGAGAATATGTGCATTTCACCATTTTACCCAACATTCACTTTTCAATCTTTAACTCAACATCATCAAAAATATGTTGTTTCCAACATTTTCTTTGGTCGTTCCTTTTGTAACCCCAATTTCCGCGTTTTCACCCCAGCATGGAGCTATACTCATTGTATTGGAAAAACGGCAGTAAGACGAGAAAAGGGAATTGGGCTGAATGAGGAACCCATATCTAGGGCTTTTTCTAAAACCGATTTTTCAGGCCAAGCCAAGCCAATTATTTTTTACTCAATTTTCCGTCAATTCAAGGCCAAACCAAGCCAAAGCCAAGGTTTCTGGGCAAGCTCAATTCAAAGCTATTGCCTTAAAACCTTGAGCAGTAAGTTTGGAGTAGTAAGGAATGAGGAACTGAGGAAATGAGGAAATCCAGGACTGTTTCTAGAGCCGATTTAGTAAGCAGTAAGAAAGTTTGGAACCTTTAGAGAAAACTGACGGCATAGAAAGCTAAGAAGAATAGAAAGGGTTTGAATTAGCAAAAAAATAGAGCAAAACGGGAATAGACAAGGAATAAGAGAAAGAAAAGCCACGCAGAAAAAACGTAGACTTCTCCGGGTTTGGCCGTTTTCCCGGGCTTTCCCCGGGAATGGGAATCCCTCTCTTCGACTCTTTTCTACGATCCTTTAGTTCTTTTTTAGCCTTTCTACTTTTTCAGCTCTTTTGGCCTTTTTGGACTCGTCTCTTCCTCACCTCCCCCCTTCTATAGCCAGGGCCCTCCGCGGCACTCCCCTCTTTTCCTCCCCGTCCCCTTCCCTTTCTCAACAACTCCAATCCAACTAAAATACCCTCCATTTTCCATCCATCCTTTTATCCTAAAGTTGTTCTTCCTTTGCGGGGGTTTTTTTTTGTTTTGCGCACCTTTTTTTCTCATTTCCTATTCACCTTTCAATCCTTTTTGTCCATTTTTTTAAAGCTATCGAATTTCAAAAACAACCCCAATTTAGGAACATTTTAAAGTAAAAGGTTTAAATTAATTTTTGAATTTAAGCATTTTAAAAGAATGTTTTAGTTCTACACTTGTCTTACAATCAATAAATAAGACTTTACGAGCAATACAGTTGATTAAAGAAGTTACTTTTTAAAACACAACTCTTTAGTAAACGCCACTACTTTACTAGTTGATGCGGAAATATTTTGCCTCTGAAATTTGAAAGAAAAAGATCTTTTTCTTTATGATAAAAGTTGTGATTCGTGAAGCTATGCTAAAATGCACAAATGCAGCGAGTGATCTCCCCCACTCCGCACTTTCCATCCTCCACTAGACACCATTGACTTGAAGGCTTTGCTTGCAGCTTTACTAAAATATCTTTTGTTTGTGATTTAATTGTTACATTGAGCGAGCCATCTCCCCCACTCAGCACTTTCATCCTCCACTAGACACCATTGACCGAACATTTTTCTCTTTCTGATCATCCCCTCAAATTTCACCTCAATTCCTCAATTGTTTGCACAGAAAAAACCCTATTAAATTTCACAAAACAAATCCTTATTTGGCCTCAATGAGTACGCTTTTTGCCGAATCGATCCCTAAATTACAGCCTTTCTGCATCCATTTTAGGGGTTTTTCTTTCGAAAAAACAACATCGATTCCTATGCTATTTTAAATTACAAAATATGAAATCATTATCGATTCTCTGGAAAATTTTGTTCTTAAAAATTTCTCAACACATTTCACATTTCTCTCTTTTCCACCTTTATCTGATCGTTGAGGGTTGAAATGAAATCATTTCTGGGGGAATTTTGATGAAATTTAATAGTTAAATGTCTTCTTATATACTTCTTATCGTTCTTATAGTTTTAGAGTTAAATGTTTTATTTTTGAAAACCTTTTTTTATTTAATTTGAAAAGATTTCCCCGAAATTAGTTGTAGAGAAAAATTGTGGATACCAATCGGCAAAACTATTAGCAAATTCGCGGTATTTTTAGCGTACACTCGCGTACCGTAAATACTGTAATAGTACCCCACCGCCCTCGTACAGTCGCGTAGTCGCAAAAGTTTTTTAGTATTTCATTTTTTTCAAAGCGCCCGTACTTTCAAAAAGTGCGTCTTTGGTATCAAAAAATAGCTGAAATTCAGGGTTATTTTTTGATATCTAAGCGAGCATTCTAGCTTAAACCAGTGTCGAGAAAAACTCGTTCAAAGCTAGACTACGCAACACTCCGCACCGTCATTATGGAGGTGCGGTACTATTACAGTATTTACGGTAGGAAATTGAAAGACAATACTTACCAATCTAAGCCTTTTATTTTATCGGCTTTCCAATTAGATAAAAACTAGACATTTTTTAAAGTTAAATACAAATTCTTGGAAAGTTTATAAGGCTTTTTTTCTTACAACTCTACTTCAACATCAATCACATCGGCTAACCAATCGGCGTCTCCATGATAGAGATAAGTCGGCTCAACGAACGTCGACAAACTGCGTCTTTGGTATCAAAAAATAGCCCTGAATTTCAGCTATTTTTTGATACCTAAGTGCGCATTGTAGTATAAACCAGTGTCGAGAAAAACTCGTTCAAAGCTAGACTACGCAACGCTCCGCACCGTCATTATGGGGATGGGGTACTATTACAGTATTTACGGTAGTTTTTAACTGTTGGTGTAAATTGAAAGATAAACTAAACTATTACATTAATTTTGTTCTTAAAAATTTCTCAACACATTTCACATTTCTCTCTTTTCCGCCTTTATCTGATCGTTGAGGATTGAAATGAAATCATTTCTGGGAGAATTTTGATGAAATTTAATCGTTAAATGTCTTCTTATATACTTCTTATCGTTCCTATAGTTTTAGAGTTAAATGTTTTATTTTTGAAAACCTTTTTTTATTTAATTTGAAAGAGATTTCCCCGAAATTAGTTGTAGAGAAAAATTGTCACTTTGAATCAGTCAAGCTCATTTTCAACATGACAATCAATTAAGATGTACAAGAAAAGGCTTTGTGAAAAGGAAGTGACAGCTAAATTAAATGAATTACAAAAAATAACCCTTAGATGTTTTGTCTTTTGTTGATTTCTTTGAGTCTCGAAAGTTCATTCATTTTTGCCGATTAAAGCCGTTTTTTTTCTATTTCTATTGAATTTTTTCAATTTTCCTTTTGCTTAACGAAAAAAACGAGGACTGAAAAGAATCGATATTCAAGCAGTCGATCATTTTTCTTTTCTCTCAATATTCCCATTTTTCAGGGAAAAGGCTATTTTACTGTATGAAAATTCGTAAAATTCGTAAAATTCGTAAAATTCCTATATTTCTTTTCCTTTTCTTATTTTTCTTTTCCTTATTTCTTTAAACATCCAAATTATCCCATCTTCTTTTATAAGTGATTTTTAATTATCACACTTTCAGGCCTTTCTTTTTGCACCTACCTCATATTGTAACTCGCGGGTAACTTGGAAAGGTTCCCTGGTTAGACACCGCCGCTTGGTCACGGATTTAATAGAATGTTTCAAAATTGTAAAGGGCAGGCAACCGATCCCCCTTTTTCGAGATTTATTCAAAGTTTATCCCACGGTTAGCTCAAGGAGAGGTTCTTTCGTTTTAGAAATTCCAGTCACCTCCAATACGTTTGTGTATAATTCTTTTCCAATAAGAAGTGCCAGAATGCGGAATCGACTCCCCAGAGTTTTGAGAGGGTTCAATAGTCTCGAAATCTTTAAATTATCTGTAGATGATGTTGATCTTGAAGCTCTAGTGGATCCTTGACGTTATCTGTGCTACCCATATATTGCATATAAGTTGCGTTTGATCTCCACCGTGTCTAATTTTAAAGGGCCTCCTTCTTTCCTTTTTTGAGTGACTTTGTGATCTTTCATCTGCTACATTTTTCATGTCTTTTTCGCACTTTATTTCTTTCTAAATAAATTATATCGTGTTGCTTTTTATCGGCCCTTTTCGTGTTTATGTGCATGTATTTTAATGTGTATTCATGTGTTTTAATCTTAAATCTAGCGCACTTTATCTGAGGTGATGAATAAAGTATCTATATATCATCAATGCTTTTTTTCAGGGTGCAGGGCCGAATGCCGGTGTGTTTCACGGTGTTGCCGGTGTGTTTTGCGGCTGCACAAACATCCACGGTCCATCCACTTTCGACGTTTCTCCGAAAATATTCTAAACAATTTTCTTAATTCAATATTCTTTCATTCTCTAAACATCAAAGATGTCATTGATTCCGATGGGTTCCCTCAATTTGCCGGTGGTTTTTCTAGAGGCACGAATGCTTGGCCAGCCAGCCGCACAGGTAAAGGAGGATTTTGTAAAAACGCCGCCACTGTAGATATAAAATATCAAAAGCTTGAGTCTATTATACTTTGAAATTAACATTGTTCCACAAACACAGCTTTTTTTTTCTTGGTTTCTAGCGCCCTCAATTTGCCGGTGGTTTTTCTAGAGCCACGAATGCTTGGCCAGCCAGCCGCACAGGTAAAGGAGGATTTTGTAAAAACGCTAGAAACCAAGAAAAAAAAAAGCTGTGTTTGTGGAACAATGTTAATTTCAAAGTATAATAGACTCAAACCTTTGATATTTTATATCTACAGTGTCGGACAATTAAATAGAACCGATGCTCCATTAAATACCACGAATTTTCTATTATTTGCACATCCACTCCAAAAGACATCAACAGCTATTTTTTTTGATGTTATCTTAGCTTTCGATTGGCACCGCTCTTAGCTGAAAGTTCTTTCTCTGTAACTTGGTAGCTTAGGTTTTCTTCCGCCTGCCCCATTATAGAGCTTAGGTGCTCTTCCGCCTACCCCATTATAGAGCTTCGGTTTTCTTCCGCCTACTCCATTATAGAGCTTAGTTTTCCTTCCGCCCACCCCATTATAGAGCTTCGGTTTTCTTCCGCCTGCCCCATTATAGAGCTTAGGTTTTCTTCCGCCTACTCCATTATAGAGCTTAGGTGCTCTTCCGCCTACCCCATTATAGAGCTTAGGTGCTCTTCCGCCTACCCCCTTATAGCGACGACAAGGAAATAGAACCGATCTTGAAACATGCTTTCTTACGAAATTTTCGATTTAATTAGCTTTGTTGCAAGAGTTTTCTTTATTTAGATATGGGACGAGGTATTCATATCACACCATTGTCCGCCACTATATATCTAGATTTTAAAATTAAACCATTTCCAGGCGATCTCTCAGCTTGGCATCAGCGTCGATGCACCCGATATGAACGTTGCCGTTTTCAGTGAGTTTCGAGATTTAAACAAAGCGATTTACTAGAACAATTTCTAATCAAATCTATGAAACTTTTCAAAGCTAATCATAATTTTCGATCAACATCAAGTGAGCTTTTGGGGAAGGCTTGATGATTGATAGGCTAAAGAAGAACCTTTATCCCAACAATCAATCAATCAATCAATCAATCATAAAAGTATTTGTTTAGATACTTTCTTTTAAATGATATTGATTCATTTACCTACCGTAAATACTGTAATAGTAGCCCGCCCCCATAATGACGGTGCGGAGTGTTGTGTAGTCTAGCTTTGGACGAGTTTTTCTCGACACTGTTTTATGCTACAATGCGCGTTTAGGTGTCAAAAAATAGCTGAAATTCAGGGCTATTTTTTGATGCCAAAGACGCATTTTTTAAAAGTACGGGTGCTTTGAAAGAAATGAAATACTAAAAAACTTTTGCGACTACGCGACTGTACGAGGGGCGCTGGGGTACTATTACAGTATTTACGGTAGCTCACTTTCATAAAATTCCGATAAAACAAATAAATTTGATCTTTGAAAGAAGAAATCCCACTCTTCTCCTTTTAAAATAAATCGAATTACGTCATTTTTTTCTCGTCAGATCCTCCTTGCCTCTTTCTTTTTCTTTACTGCTTTTAGCTAAAAAGATTATACGAAAGTTTCCCCAAGGATTAATTCAAAAAATGACATTTTACCGATCCGATCTTAATCCTTTACAGAGATTTGCTAATATTTACTTCAGTGTTTTTTGAGAATTCTAAATCTCGGAAAATCTCGGAAAAGATTTTCGAGAAGTACATTTTAAAGGCCACAAGAAGCTAAGGCAAATTGCAAGCAATTTAGCAAGATTTATCTCATTTTCAAAAGTGAATCATTTACCCAATAGCAAAATCAAATCAATTTTAAACTTTAAAGCAAATTTTAGCCCAAAAACCTACGTCATTTTAAAGGCCATAAGAATCTTTCTAAAGTAGTCGAACGAGAGAAAACGAGAGCGGAGAATCTTGTAAGAAATTCCAAAAAACTCCATTTTCTTACTCCTTTTTCCCTTTTTCTTCATTCTCTTCTTTTGTTTTTTCGTTTTTTTTTGCTGAAACTTCCGGAATCTATGTGAAAGAGATTCGCCAATTTCAGGGCTAAAAATTCTGGATGAGAACACATTTTCCCGCTTTTAAATAAAGGAAATTTGAGTTTTTAAAGCAATAAATCTAGATTCAATTTGAATTTGAATAAGTAAAGACTTCCGAAAATCAAAGTAAAAAACTACAACTTTAAATGATCAGCATTTCGAATCGCAAAGCTTGACAAATGTTTAAATAATTTGATAGTTGATGCAGGGATCAAAACCATTCAACTTCTTTTTTTGCACTTCGTTTACTCTCAATCTAACTGATCTAATTGATAGTAGCTCTCAATCTAACTGATAACTCTCAATCTAATTGATAACTCTCAATCTAACTGATAACTCTCAATCTAACTGATAACTCTCAATTTAACTGATAACTCTCAATCTAATTGATAAAGTACTTCTGAATGTACTTTATCAATTTGATAAGAATGAGTGAAAGATGGGAACTCTTTTTGACTCATTTGATTTCATCAACACCAAGAATCATCCTCAGCCAGCCTCGGTCAATAAGTGGTCGTTGTGGTCCCAACAAACCCGAAAAGGATCAGATTGGGCGTTCTTTTTCTTCTCAAAAAGCTAAAGCCACCATGAAGCCAAGGCAAAAAAGGGCCAATGTTTTCGTATAGCCTTTCTTCTCTTTTCCCTTTTCCTTGAGACAATCAGCTGTGTTTGGGATCTTAGAAAGGGATAAACCAAAAGATTAAAGGAAAGTGATCTAATTTTCGATTAGACTCTATCTAATCTGAATCCACGTTGACCAGAGCATCTTCAGCTGGTTATCGGACATTTGAAAGCCTGCCCCTTTTCCCATTAGCAATCTAATTTTCAGCTCAAATCTCTTTGTATTGGGCTGTCGAATTGAAATATTCTTGATATTATTGGATGCGCCAAGTCTTTCTCTGTCGATTGGTACAAAAACTATTTCTATTGAACAGCTCAACACCAAGATATTTGAGTTTAAGTTTGGATTGCTAATGGGAAAAGGAGCATCAAATGTTTTAGAATCTCTTCAGCTGGGTTGAATTTTCTTAAATTTAATTGAATACTTTGATAGTCAATCACCAATAATGGTTTAACAAATTAGAAATCTAAACCAGTCATTCAGATCTTTACAGCTTTGCATTTACTCAGAAAATCCCATAGTTCTTTGAGCGCATCAAGTGGGAGGTAAACAGGTAAATAGGAAGCTCTTGAATATTCATCGATCATTGTTTTCGTTGGCTGAACGCTTTGCAAAAACTCATAGACTCAAAAGCGTCTGTATAAGTGTATTTTCTCATTACTAGCACTTCCAGGGAACATTCTACTAGACCAGGGAACATTCTACTAGATCCGCTAGGCCAGATTAATCACTTTTTGGCCCTTTCACCACACTGTTTTCTTTCTCAACAACTTCTATCTCACATTGTTTATAGTATTTTTATGTAAATGCTTAGAAGTAATGAGTTTTTTTTCTTTCTTCTTTGCCCTAACCCTATGAGAAGGCAATCGATGCCTGGCTTTCTCCTTCTTTCATTCCTTTTAGCATTATTGCCCATCTTTTTTCTTCCACAAGAAGCAATGAGATCGCCACACAATTCAGCCATGCCCCTAAACTCAATGAAACTAGTAATATTGAACAATTTCTTTGCCTACTTTGTACTCAAGTGGAAACGCGTCTGGTAAACTTCACTTTCATGTGCTAATAAATTTAGCCATGTCATCTTTTTTCAATCTCCATCTTTATATAAAGAAGACACTTGTTGTCGATCACCGCTTTTCTTTCTTTTCTTCCTTTTCTTCCTTTTTTCTATCTCTTTTCATATGCAAGGCTTACCCCTTCACTCCCAAGGGCATATTTGTGAGGTCCCCCTTTTGCTCATCCTTTTTTAGTCCCCATTCCATCCTTGTCTCTTTTTCTATAAGCAAGGCCTAAGAGTGGGACCTCAAGTTGTGTGTAGTTTTAAAAAAATAGAGGACATCTTTACGGAAATGACGACAATTTGAAAAATTTGGAATTTGAAGAATTGACACAGCTCCGGAGACTTGCAGACTCGACAGACCTCTCTAAGTTGACTCGACACGGTCCTACCCCAAGCGTCACTGTGGCCGACTGGCTAAGAGCCCGGTATCTTAGTCGGGTGGTCTAGGGTTCAATTCCGCTGGGCGGATTCTTGATGCCTTTTTTGCCATATTAGATGGGTTTTTTCTTGCCTAGTTTTAGAGCTGCTTCTGTATTGTTTTCACCACATTATTCATGTGAATAAATGTATGTTTTATTTGAATCCATTTGTCCATCTTTCCTTTCTCCATCCTCACTCTCAAAACGACCTTGCCGCTCGTGTCAAAGCGCATTTGCAACCCGAGACTCTTGTGGCTTTGCTTTTTCGGGATCAGTTGTAACAGGAATTCGTTTGAACTATGCTAATCGATAGTGGCTGTATTTTTACAACTTCAACAATGTTTTAAACTCTAACAGATTAGAGATCGGATAGTCGTGTTAGGCTTGCTTTCAAAAGTTCACACGTTTCACAAGTTTGTTTGTAGAAACTTATTTTTTGACAATGACGGTCAATTAGTACGGCTTTGCTGGCTCAATTCATGAATTCTTTTCCCTTTTGTTCCACTCAAACAGTTCAATTCCCTAAGTGAAAAGTGTGCTTGGATCGATCCCTCTTGCAAATACATTCACTCACTCACACACTTCTCCCTTGATCTCCTTTTTTCACTGCAATTTCCAATCCAAACTTTTCTCTAAACTCTCCATTCGCAATATTTACTCACACTACCCATCTGCAAAAAGTAAAAAAGTAAAAAGCAGTACTGCTTTATTGTACTGCTTTTTTTTATGTCTAGTTTAAAAAAACTATACAACAACGCTAAATTGAAGAATTTTTTAGTGCTTCTTTAGAGCATTACCGGATTCTCTCGAATAGTAGTGCGCATTACTATTTTTTGAACCCCTCCTGGACCGCAATACTATCAGAGAGTGCACCTCTATTAGAGAGAATACGGTAAACGATAACACTGTTGTTCTTTAATTAACAATGTTGTTCTTTAATAACAATGTTGTTCTTTAATTAAGTTTAATTAACTAATTAACAATGTTGTTCTTATTGTTAAGAGGTTTTGTTTTCTAAAAAAAGATCAACCTTTTATTACCGTGTTCTTGTTTTTTATTCAGTTTATCTATTTTGAAGTATTTTGATCAAAATGACAAATCAAAATACCATATTGTCTCTAACAGTAGTGCGCACTACTATTTTTTGAACCCCCTCCTGGACCGCAATACTATCAGAGAGTGCACTACTATTAAAGAGTTTTATCATTTATCAAAGTAAGACAGATATAAACTTTATTCCAAAAATTCTTGCAACTCTTTCACGTACTCCTTTGGCTCCTTTTGACATACAGTTGTGGGCCGGCGAGTTGACAATTTTTGTGTCTTGACAAACAACAAAAAGATTTTTTTGCCCTTTTGCACAACAATTTTAGATTTTTTGCTAACTTTTTCATGTGAAGAATAGTTAATAAATGAATAAAAAAAAGCCTCACTTTTGCTTGCTTGAATAGCTTTAGAATGTCACATAAACATAAAGTCATTTAGTCAAAAGGTTTAGAATGAAAAAGAAGCACCAGAAATTCAAATTTTCGTTGGTGCACTACTATTTTTTCAAACCCCCTCTCGGACCGCAATACTATTAGAGAGTGCACTACTATTAAAGAGTGCACTATTATTCGAGAGAATACGGTATATGTTTACTTCTTGAAATTTGAGTTCTCAAACTTTTAAACGAAAACTTTTATACATTTTTCTATTCCCCAATCACTTCTCATTCATTCATTCATTCATGAAGTGATCCAGTAATCTATCAGATAGTTTTGAGAGGATCGTCCTTTCCTCTTTTCTCCTTTTTTTTCTTATTTCTTCTTGATGATGCAACCCGAGTGACTCTCGACTTTTCGAGTCTTTCAATCGAAAGAGACCTAGTTCTTCAGCCGTTCATGTTATCTAAAAAAGATTGAGATAATCAACTGATTTGAATTTGAAATTGATTTAAATGATTCAAATCAATTGAAAAATGAAACCTAAAATGTGTTGCAGTTCAAAGATTAAGAGTTTGATTTGAAAGCCAAAAAAAAGATTCAAAGTTTATAAAGTTTAGTTTGAGATCAAGAAATGGATGAAAGGATAGCGTTGACTAGACTAGTGTTCTTTGTGCTCAAAAGCGGAAACGCATCCTTTCTAGCACAGTAATTTCTTTCATTTCAGCGATCGTTACAACAACTGATCATGTTTGACAAGATTTAACTCATCAATGGAAGTTCTTTTGTCTTGTTCTTGTTCATTTTGTCAACTTTCATTGATGAGTTTAAATCTTGTCAAACATGATCAGTTGAACTGCAACACATTTTAGGTTTCATTTTTCAAATTGATTTGAATCATTTCAATCAATTGCGAATTCAAATCAGTTGATTAGCTCAATCTTTTTAGATAACTTGACAAGTTGACAAAATGAACAAGAACAAGACAAAAGAACTTCCATTGATGAGTTAAATCTTGTCAAATATGATCAGTTGAACTATTCAATTCTGTAACGAATCTGTAACGAATCATTGAGTCAGTAAAAACTTATGGCCACAATATTTGTGCTAGCTTGAAACCTGTGATTGACAAGATCTTCCCTAGACAAGAAAGTGATCTTTTTGACGACTAAAGAAAAGATAAGTGATTGACTAAGAGTGATCTTTTTTTGTCTAGAGATTTGTCTCGAGATTTGCCTCTCATTGCAAGAAAGTTAGCTGATTCAGTGATTATTAAGAAGTGAAATGGGATGTGAAAGTAGATCTTTTTTTAACGTGACTTCGATGTCAATATTGAAAGGATTCTTCCTGATCCACTCAATTAACCATTTTTCTTGTTGTAACGATCACTGAGATGAAAGAAATGACTGTGCTAGAAAGGATGCGTTTCTGCTTTTGCACTAGTCAATTTCGATTTGAAATTACAACATACAAAAGTTATTTTTGCTAATTTATTAATTCCCAATTTAACTAGTCAAGTCAACGTAGAAACATACTCTTTCTAGCACAAAGAACACTAGTCAAGTCAACGCTATCCTTTCATCCATTTCTTCGTCTCAAACTAAACTTTATAAACTTTTAATCTTTTTTTTTGGCTTTCAAATCAAACTCTTCATCTTTTTAGCATTCAATTCCTCATTGTTCCAAGCTTTAAATAAGTAAAGCAGTTTGCTAGAAAGAGTATGTTTCTACTTTTAAGCACAAAGAACAGAGAGCCTATTGATTGATACAATGTGTTGCATTGATACAATACAATGATACAAACATTGATACAAAAGTGTTGCAAGTGAGAAACAAAGGAAATCATTGAATGAAAGCAAAAACAACAGGGTCTAATTGGAAAGAGAAAAAAAGAGAAACAGTTGTGCTTTCTTTTTTATTTCTTTCTGAAACGATATTATCATTGAACAATCAACAACTAAAAGAATTATCAAAAAGTTTCGATGATTTTTGAACTATTCATCTCTTTTTCTTTAAATCCCTTTGAGCTTTTTCTTTTTTTTTTCTCTCCAGACATTTCCTCTCCAGACAATTCAATCGATATGCCAAAGTCTGTTCAAAAAAAGCTTTCCAACAATTTTTCTTTTCAACAACGACAGCTAACTTTTTGTTATTGATGATCAAGTTCTTTATCTTTTTATAAAATATCGATTCCTTTCAGGTTTAATCGTTACTTTTTTTTCTAAATCAGAATTCTAGCTTTATACCAGAAATTTCAGTTTATAAAGCTAAAATCTAACAAAGAAATTCTTAAAAAACAGAGATTGCAGTTTCATTAACTACAAATTCTTGGATAAAGCTAGAATTGAGTTTTAGAATTTGAGTTCTTTACCTAAAGTCCGACTCGAAGAACACCCTGATAAACATATTGCGTCACTGCAAAATTGCATATCAAGTCCATAAAAAGGAGAAGTGAGGAAATAGGGAATGGGGAAAAGTTTGCGACACATCCATTCGTTGACAGCTTTTTCGGGATTCGGCGTTCGTTTTTCCGCCGCCAAACATCAACAACTTTTAATAATGCAAAAAGAAACGCTGAAGTATTTATGCCATTCTGTTGTAGTTTTCGTTTTTCATTGTTTTCTATAGCTATTTATCTATAACTTTGCTAATTTGAACGTGTCGGTGATATTTTATTGAATTGTACTTTTGTCAGCCAGTTAATCATGTCTTTAAAATTGAATTTTAAGTTTTTTTGATTAGAAAATCGAGTTTAATCTGGGTTTTGAGTGAATTTTCATGAATGAATACATATGATAAAGTCTTTATAATCTCTCCCATGCGCCCGTTTCTAGCTACCGCCATGGCCAACTGGCTAAGAGCCAGGTATCTTAGTCAAGAGGTCAAGGGTTCGATCCGCCACCCTTTTTTTTCAAATATTTTGGTTTTTTTTCTTCTCTACTAAAATTTAGAAGATCTTTGAAGTTACGATTGATTCCCGAATCACCAAGAAATATAAATGAGCCCCAGTTCTTTTACCAGTCTCAAGATCGGATCAAGACGAAAACTAGCGTACTTTTGATTGGGGAGATTGGATTGGAGTTAATTGGACAATCACAAGCAGAGTGGTAGATCAGAGGTAGAAATAAATATCCGAAAATAGATCAGCTGTTCCCGATACTCTCAAGGGTTTTCACAAGTCTTCACCCTGGGGGGTGACCGTTGTGTCAATGGGACAACTGTCTTCTCCATTTCCCTCTTCACTCCTCACTCTATCAATTTCTTTTTGCACCCAGAAATTCATTCTTCTCATTTCCCCTCTTTACTACTAGTCTTTCCTCTCTTTTTTTTTTCGTTTTTCCACAATATTTACCCACTAAATTCCAGTTTATCCAGTCTGACTTGTCCCCCAAAGGCCACTCTCGTTCCTCTTCATTCCGCTCTTTTTGATTGTTGTCTAATATTGAACATCCCAGAAAAACTGACTCTAATATTTCTAAAACTGAAATCGAAAAATCAAGCTCTATATCAAACTATTCCTCAATTCGAATCCTTAATTCGAATCGTCAATTCCTCCTCAATTCCTCCTCAATTCCTCCTCAATTCCTCCTCAATTCCTCCTCAATTCCTCCCCAATTTCTCCTCAATTCCTCCTCAATTCCTCCTCAATTCCTCCTCAATTCGAAAGTCTACAATTGATCTAGACTTCCAATCAGAGATTCCAATTAGAGATCCTATTCTATTACAAAATCCTATAAGTTCTATAATATTATCCGCCTAATCTATAATATTATTTGTTCTATTATTTGTTCTATTATTTGCTTAATCTCAGAAGATCTGCTATTTGTATCAATTGTCGGCTAACAGCAAAGTGAAACTGTGCTCTTTTTTGACTTTTCTGATTGAACTCTACCGAATATCTAGCGGAATTTTCAAGTGCTTTCAAGTGCTTTCACTTGTTTTCCCATCCAAGCCCCACCATGCAATATGTGGCCTCAAATCGGCATCTCCATCCACCAATATGATCTCGTTTTCTCATTTCTTAACCCTTTCTCCAATTACTTATATAAAGGTGAGACTTTTCTTTTTTTTTGCTTTAGTTGTTTTCATTGTAAGTGAGCAATGGAAAAGATTGGCTTATCACAATATTGACTCATTTTGAATTGTTTTCTATTTTCAAGTTTAGCTTAATGCTTTATAAAGGTTGAATTAATTGATTGATTGAAATTGATTGAGATTGATTGAAAGGTTGAATTCATTGAAATTCTCAGCAAAACCAAAGCTCTTACAGCTTTAGTTTTTGCAATTTCAAAAAAGTTCTTCATTTTACGCCTTTCACGAATCGTTTAAATTGCCCTTATCAGAAAAATATCAGAAATAGGGATTCCTTTTCCCTCATTCAAACCTCCGTCATTCATGCTTGTTTTAATTTTGCATTTTTTAACTTAGCATTTTTTAATTTGGCATTTTTTTCAATTCTCTTTAACATTTCGAAAGTCAGTCTTTATCTTTATTAGGAAAGGAAATATGTGGGAATGAGTGAATTCCATTTGGCTCTTGATGGGGGCACAAGGGTGGTGACCGTCATTCGGATAAAATCCACTGATTGGTTTGGTGGGTTTCATGATAAGATGATAAAATTGAACTCTTGGTATCAATTAGTGAGACTAAACTTAATCTTGAGTCAATGTAAGATTGTTTTCTTTAGCAAAAGCGTCCGGCGTGCTGCTGGTGGCCGGCGTTGGATCGTACTGCGCCTACAGGATATGCACGAAGTGAGTGGTGGCTTTTGTTTTGAACATTACCATGGCACCATACTCCAATTCAACTTCTATAAATGCTTTTCATTTTTTATGAATGTTTTTTATGATCTTTATTATAATACTGGCTAAAGTATGAGGAAAATCAAATAGAACAATAGCATTTAAAGCTAGCCAACTAGCCCACTAGCCCACTAGCCCACTAGCCAACTAGCCAACTAGCCAACTAGTCAGCTAGCCAGCTTTTTTGTTCAAAAATTTAAACACATCCTTTCTAGCGTACTAAGATTTTGATTTAAAAAAGGTTAAACTGTCAAACCAGTGTGCTAGAAAGGGTGTTTTTGTGATTGATGAGAGGTAAAACGAATCTTAAAAGTATTATAAAGCCAAAACTGTTTGATACCAAGGTATAACCCTTGGAAAGATATAACCAGTAGACTTATAAATCACTGCCAATATATTACTTATATATATTACTATATATTACTATATATTACAATTTATTACTATTTATTACTATATATACATCTATATTATTTACTGTTGTACAACGCTTTTTTTCTAGATATCTTGGCCAGAAATTCGTGTGGATGTTGATGGACTCGACCCGTTACGATCAGTTGCCCGGTGCCGATTTTCGTTTTATTCATCCGTCACAAGTGAGCCATAGATTTTAAAAAAAAAAAGATGTATAAAACCCTTCCATACTATATTCTTTTCTTCTAATTGAAAGCTATCGTCTTTCAAAGGAAACTTCTCAAATTTCTTCTTTTCTTTACACATTTTCTCTCCAATGAATATCTTCCTCCAATCCGCTACATGTGGCTTTTCCGAAAACCCGTAAAAGTGGATTTTTATTACGGCATCATGAACAATTTTTGAGACAAATGTGTTTTCAATTAGAAACAATGAAACTTAGCCGGATAAGAGACAAAAGAATTTGGTTTAATCACAATCTTTTGAGATTTTATGACACTTTTTGACAAAAGAAAAGATCAGAGTGAGCTTCAGGTAAAAGAAAATAAGAGATTTCTTCAGCTGAAGTGACTTGTTCACTTTTTGAGTGTCACTAGCCTTTTGACAAGTTTTTAATGGGTTAATGAATAGACAATGGGTCCCATTTAAAACCTAAAATCAAGTACTTAAAATAGGGAACATTTGGTGATAAAGGTAAATTTGATTTAATAAATCATTAATAAGAAATTACGGCATCATGAACAATTTTTGAGGCAAATGTGTTTTGAATTAGAAACAATGAAAATTAGCCGGACAAGAGACAAAAGAATTTGGTTTAATCACAAAAGTATCTTTTGAGATCTTATGAAATCACTAAAGTAAATCGGTTTATTTAAAGATGAAATCAGCTTTGCAGGTCAATTTCAACCTTGAGTTCCTCGGCTGGCTTTGGCTGAAAAGACTTCATTTATAGCAAAGACGTAGCCAAATTTGAAGCGGGACTTGATCAAAAAGATTTGAGAATAGTGAGGCCGAGGAGCGCGAGACCGCCTGAATCCCCGCCGTTCCTTTTCATGTTTCGGATTTCACAAGGGAACACGTATCCATCGGGCGCGTGTGCCAGACGGAGAGCGATTACGCGGCCGCGCAAAGTACACTTTGCGAGTCATTTAGGAATTTCTCTTTTGCTTTGTAGATGATACAAAAAAGATGTTCAGCTGTAAATTTGTAACCGGGGGTTTTCGAGGTCGGGCAATCGATTGGCGGTGTTTATTTTATCGTGATATTGATGATAAACCGACGATACTTTATTCATTTCTATATACAACCATCAAGCGAAATTATATTCCGCCGATAATTTAGTTTTATTGACACCGCCTTTAAATTTGAAAGAAATCATTTAGGAATTTCTCTTTTGCTTTGTAGATGATACAAAAAAGCTTTGTAGAAATCACTTTGACAAGGCTAAATCCAAAAAACACGAAGGAGAATGTCAAGTTCTCGAAAAACGAAAGAAATTTCAGATTGTCTGTGAAAGCGATGATGAAGAGGTACAAGACGAAGAAGAGGAAGGAGATCGGAATAGCGAGAGTGAATTCCTCTCTCGAGTATCCGAGAGTCGCCCGGCTAGTGAGGTGAGATAAATGAACAAAAAAAACTGATTATATTAAGCAATTACATAGTACGGTAAAAGTAAGGGTAAATGCTTTAAAATACCGTAAATGCTGTATTAGAATGACACCCTCAAATAGAATGGCACCCCATTTACAAAAAATAGATGTTTAAAATTTGTTTTATTTGTTATTGTTTGTTAAAATTGTGTTAAAAGTGATGTTTTTAATAGAATATATGTTGAATGAAGTCGTTTTTTTAAAAAATGGATCCTTTTTTGTGATCCGTAGTGGTCATTCGAGTGAAAAATAGGATGACATCCTCTAATAGAATGATCCCTAGCGGGGGTATTGAAGAATAGAATGACACCCGGAAGAGGTATTGAAAAATAGAATGACATCTTCTAATAGAATGTCCCTAGCGGGGGTTATTGAAAATAGAATGACACCCGGAGGGGGTATTGAAAAATAGAATCCTCTAGCATCCTCTAGCATCAAGAACATTTCCCCTTTCAGATGTCGCTGAGCCGCTTGCAGAAGGTGCGACGATCCGTCAGAACACACGGTCTTCTCGGTCTACATCAAGTGAGTTTGTTGAAATTTGATGATGCTTAACAACTAGAGCTTACAGAGTACAGAATTCTATAAGTACTACATCTACTTCTCGTCAAAACTTCTGTCTTTTAATATTCATTTTTCGTAAATTAAAATTTTGGAAATTCAGAATATACAAATAGGGTGCTAAACTTTCCAAATTTTATAATTTTTTGCAGAAGCAACCTATGCCATTGAACCTCGCTACTAGAAAGTTTAAAAGTTCTATAGAAATGAAAGCCGGGTGAAACACCAGGGCATCGAAAATCGTCATGTAGGCCGGCGCTCTATCCGCACCATATAAACAAACGCGCTCTATCCGCGCCACGGTGATGGCGTAACTGGCTGGTGATGGCGTAACTGGCTGGTGATGGCGTAACTGCTCTAAAACATCCAGCCAGAATCCGCGGGTTTTTCCTCTGGTTTTCTATGATATTCTTCATTGAGCTGAAACAAATTCAATTTTTAAGCTTTGGCCAACTTTAGATGACACTTTAGGAGGTGACAGAAATGACACCTGGAGAATGACTAGAATGACACCTGGAGGGGGTATTGAAAAATAGAATGACACTTTTAGCGCACCATGTCGTTTCATAATTTATGGTATTTATCTATAACCTAATCTATTTTTAGCCGCGAACCCCGCGAAGTGGTGTGTTGAGAAGAGAAGGCGGATCGGTCACCGGCAGTACGCACAGTAGGCAAAGAAGGTAGTTAGTGATCAAGTTAAAATTTCAGTTTGTTAGACATGTAGATATTTTCTGAAATTCCTCGTTTTCTAGAGATTTCTCGCCATCAGCCGCTTCGGATTGCTCGGCCTCATTGCAGATTGTTTGGGAGGACAATGGGCAACAATGGGATGACGAATTTGCACAAAATGGTTAGTTTGGGGATTGGGGTGAGCTAAAAAGTGGCTTAATTTGAAAACTACTGTAACTGTGAAGAAAAGAAAAGTTTACGGTATCTTTTTTAATATTTAAAAAGTGCGGTTTGGGTTTTGCCGTTTAAAAAAAAGATATCAAGTTTGTTTTTAGCATATTGCAAGAGATAAGAGCTTTACAGTAGATTTACAGTACTTTGTAGAAAGTAATTAGAGCTTAAAGTAAGAGCTTTTTGTACAGTACTTTCTAGTACTTTCTACAGTAGATTTACAGTACGTTGCAGAAAGAGATTAGGCCTTAAAGTAAGAGCTTTCTACAGTAGATTTACAGTACTTTACAGAAAGAGATTAGGCCTTAAAGTAAGAGCTTTTTGTACAGTACTTTCTAGTACTTTCTACAGTAGATTTATCGTACTTTACAGAAAGAGCTTAGAGCTTAGAGTAAAAGCTTTCAACAGAACTTTTAACAGCACTTTCCAATACAGTATCCAATTTTTAGGTGCTCATCTCCATTCTTCATCTTCTCGTTTACGACTTCCCCAATTTTCTCATCACGAAATCCCTCCAAATGATCACCTCGAATCCCATGGCAGTTACGGAGATTTGTGTTCCGTTTTTGATGATGTGAGTGTCTCATTCGACAAAAAACTATTCAACTCAATATCTTATAACTCGGGATTTGATTAAAATACACTTTTTATGCTGCTTTTTTTAATGAAAATTAAAGGATTATTGACAGATTATTTTGCTAGATTTTATTCAATTGAATATCAAATAGAATTTCAAATAAAGAAGTAGAAAAGAATTCAATTGAATATCAAATAGAATTTCTATTTGATATTCAATTGAATTCTTTTCTATTTCTTTTGAAATAGAAAAGGATTAATTGACACCTGATTTGTCGGACAAAACAAAAAAAAAAACAACTCGTGCCCTTTTGAAAATTAAAAAGTAGAAAAGGTTTTTGCTGATGGAGAACACTTTTTTTGATTGGTTTTTTTTGAGAGAAAGTGCTTGAATGGAGGGATTAGAGAAGAGACTAGAATGGCAAAGATTAGAAGTAGAAAATAAAACTCTAGAATGAGCAATTTGAGCATGAAGAAATGGTAGAAATACTTTCGAACTAGAATGTACAACTATTAGTTAAACGAGGTCTCAACTGAGCCTGTAGAGTCACCTGTAGATCAAGCAAGACCAGAGGTCAGGTCCAGAAGTTAGACATTGTAGGGGCCAAGAAGCCTGTTAAGGAAGCTTTGACTTGCCTGAGCTTAGTCAATTTCTCATAGTTAGAAAATTGAAATTTCCTTTCTAACACTCCAGTTCAAAAACTCTAATTTCTAAATTGAAACTCTAAATTGAAATCCAGGTCCTTTCAATGACAACTATTAGTTAAACGAGGTCTCAACTGAGCCTGTAGAGTCACCTGTAGGTCAAGCAAGGCCAGAAGGTCCAGAAGTCAGGTCCAGAAGTCAGACATTGTAGGGGCCAAGACAAGAAGCCTGTTAAGAAAGCTTTAACTTGCCTGAGCTTAGTCAATTTCTCATAGTTAGGAAATTGAAATTTCCTCTCTAACACTCTAGTTCAAAAACTCTAATTTCTAAATTGAAACTCTAAATTGAAATCCAGGTCCTTTCAATGACGACAAGAGAAGATCAAATCGAGATTCATCTTGGATGGGCTGAAGGAGAAGATGGATATCGAGAAAACGAAAGAGATGATGAAAAAATAAGGATGAAAATTGATTCTGAAAGGTTTCTTAGCAAAACATTTCCAATAATCTATACATTTCAGTATCAACGAGGCGTCGAATCCGGTGCTGAAAAAGTGCATGACTGACAGCAAGTACATGTATCAGAGTGTCACTGTGGGGTCAGCTTTAGAAAAGAGTGAAAAAGTAATCTGGATATCAAGAAGTTTATCAAATCTAAATCTAAATCTAAAGTTTCAGAAGTGATTTTGACGGATCCGAATGTGGATCGGTGTTGAGTGGACGAAGTCGAATGAGTCGAATCAGTCAAACTCGAGGATTGCAAAGGAAGGCAAAGAAAACGGCAGCGCATGGGTGAGTACTGAAAAACTATCTAGACTTGATAAAGAATGAATAATCAGTACTAAGAAGCTAAAGCTGTAAATATCAGAACTCAAAGCTAAAGCTGTAAATGTCAGTACTAAAAGTTAGAGCTGTAAATGTCAGTACTAAAAGTTAGAGCTGTAAATATCAGAATTAAAACCTAAAGCTGTAAAGACTTTGAACCTTCTTTACTCGATAAAACTTAATCTATTGGTGCTCTAAACTCAAAACGAACCCTTTCTGGTCCATCTGCGCTCTAAAAACAAAAACGAGTGCACCAGAAAGAATTTTTAAGCACAAAGTACAGCTAAAAGAACAATTTGGTATTTGAAATTTGATAATTTTAGTCTCTGGAATCTTTCCGCATCAAAAACAAGCATCAACCAAGAGACAAGTCATTCATCAAACGATCCAATGACCGATTCAGGACTGAGCAGTGGATTGAGATCAGATGAGGGAATTAGGTAAATAAAATATAAAATTATTAAAGTTGTTACCAATTCTAAAGTGTTACAAATGGCAAATCCTAAAGGATTTTTCATCGGCTTTCAATATCGTTTCGTCCAAAACTCTTTCCTTTCAAAGCTAAAGCTGTAAATGTCAGAACTCAAAGCTAAAGCTGTAAATATCAGAACTAAAACCTAAAGCTGCAAATAGCAGAACTAAGAAACTGTCAGTACTAAAACACGTACCTAAAGGATTTTTCATCGGCTTTCAATATCGTTTCGTCCAAAACTCTTTCCTTTCAGCATGTGAAAATTTTGAATGAAAGCAATGAATGTGTTTGCTTATTTCAGTAATGATTTATCGAAATCGACAAAACTCTTTGATTCGGCATTGGGAGCTGAGCTTTTCTCGAGTGATGATGAGCAAGTGAACTCACGATTGAATGATGGGATTATGAAGAGGTGATTTTGATTGTACTTTTCTGTTGCTTTAAATTGCTGAGATATTAGTTTAATATTTAAAGCGAGTAAGACACTTCTTGGTCCTTCTTGGACTTCTTGGTCCTTCTTGGACTTCTTGGTCCTTCTTGGACTTTTCCTTCTTGGTTAAGGAAAAGGTGTGTTTTTCTTTAAAAGCTTTAAAATCTAATAGAGTTTTGTCTCATTACAGTATCCTGGAAAGTACAGTCAACAGACTGAATATTCTGAATTTCAAATCGATTTTAAAAGCTATTCAGTCTTCTGGTTGAAGGTTTTAATGTTATGCAGTCTTGTAGAAGATTTTAAAAGCTATTCAGTCTTCTAGTTGAAGATTTTAAAGTTATTCAATCTTCTAGTTGAATAGTTTTCAGTATATTATAATGAGACCGTTGTAAGATGTATTGAATGTAAATTGAATTTGAAATAAAACTAAGTTCAATGTAAATTAATCGTTTTATCGCTGAAAGATAGCTAGCTTCATTTGCTTAACTGAGAGACTCCAGCAAACATTTTGCATGTCATTTTTTCGTTTTCAATATCGTTTTAGTGATAGCACCAGCTTTCCTTTAGCCTTTAGCACTACACCAGCTTTCCTTTAGCCTTTAGCACTACACCAGCTTTCCTTTAGCCTTTAGCACTACACCAGCTTTCCTTTAGCACATTTTCAACTTTCAAATCCCCTTTTCTCTGCTTTACAATTAGTTTTTTTAAAAAAATTAGTCACCAATATTTTCAGAATTATCCCACCTTGCCTTGTTGCTTAATAATTCTGATTCAATTCTTTATTCTTATGGCATTTCTTTGTTTATTCATCTCCATCTCCGTCAGAATCATTTCCAGCTGTTTCAAATGATTCGCGTTAACCTTTCACTATAAGAAACA